GCTAACTTGCAAAACGCAAAACAATAGCGATTTGGCGATTTCCGCTAATCGAGAATCGTTTGAACAGCAAACTTCGTACACTGCGAGATCGTATTTTTTTTATTTTTTGCTGAGCACACATCCGGTTGCCTTCAAGTATGTACAAGAGCTCAGTTGAACGATAGTAACTTCCATAATCTGGTGGATCATGGGGAGTTACTCAGACACGAATCTATCATGAGGAGTTTGTAACTCGAAGAACAAAATTTTTTGAAATTTTGATGGAAGTTCAAGTTTGAATTGAAAGCAACATTGCCTAGAGCCACTCCTCACGAACCTTCTGCGAAATAGAGAAAAAGTGGCCACAGTGGGTGAAATTACTAAGACGAAATTGTAAGACTGATCAATACAATGGCCTGACACTTCGATGGGATAACTACTTAGGAGGTCGATTGACCGCAGACAGGGCAGGTAGCCGGTGGAAACAAGGACGGGTCATAGAAAGCTTTATGAGGTGATTCTCATATGAATAGATAACATTTTTCATAGGGATTCAAATGGTTCTACTTTGACAGTGGTTTTCTTTCTTTGGAAAAGGCGCAATTTTTGTTCTGAAATGAAGACTTGAAGTTGGAACCCGGTAAAGTGGCAAACCAAGTCCAAGCTTACTGTCACTGTTTTTCTCACCGTGTTTTTTGTAAAAACACGTCAATAAGCCCTTCCGTACGTATCTCTTTTATGGAATTTACGGTACCACTCAGAAAAAATGAAAAAAAAATCTGAAAATCCTGCTTGAAAACGCTTCAATTCGAGTATTGGCCGCAGTATCGCGCGATGCGCTCACTTCAAGTAGCAAAAAAATAAAGTTTTGCTTTTCACTTCTTTCACTTCATTCTTAACTTTTGCGAATACTGAGGAGAACAGGGTCCCATGCGTTAGGCTCATTGTGTTTCTGTAGTTCTAAGTGAACCAGAGCTCGAGATTCTTCAGACTGAAAAGGCTGTCTCGTAGGAAAACGACATCTCGCAAAACCTGCCATTTTCAGAAAAAATTGACACCATTACGATCAGCACAATTTAGAAAATTCAACTATCCGATTTCTAATCAATTCTTAGGTCATACAGTACGCTATTTGAATTCTGGATGATTTGATTTCCAACGATTACCCTCTGGTTACAATTATAGCGAGACTCGCTCGCTAACGAGTGCTACTGAGGTACTAGTCGAGCAGGGGGCAGGAGTTCTTTTTAACTTTTTTTAATTTTTTGGATGCGCAATCATAGGAGCTCGATGAGCTGAGTCTAATCGTACAGAAGGATTCTATGAGAAAGGTAATAGCCGCAAAATTTGAGTGTTCGAAAAAATTAATTGTGTTCGATAAATAATCAACAATACTCGCCGTAATTGTTCGCAAAAAAAACGAAAAATAACGCTGATCCGCGTTTTTTTCGTTTTTTTTCGAACAATTTGAGGCGGTATTGTACTCTGAGACTAGCAAAAGCACAGTGAGTCCTTCGCGCTGTGGCTATTGTAGTGTCCAGACAATTCCTTTGATACGGAGTCGTTGAACTCTTATTCAACTGATAATTCAAGGACACAAAATCGTAAATGTTGCAAAGAACATACATATGGAGACAATAATTTCCCGTTTTATCTCCTGCTTTAATATTTGTGGCTCGCGTCGCCTTGCCATGCGCATGCGGTGTAAGGTCGATTGAAGAAAATAATTTTTGGCATTTCTTCGCAGCATACACGTCTATCAGCACGTGGTCCAACGGTGACGGAGTTATCGCTGACGTGGAGTCCAAAGTGTAGGGAGGAGATTACAGCACATTCAATTCAAAAATTAAAAGGTTGAACGAGTGCACAAATCAGAGCTAAATGGTGAACATGAAATGTCGGTTGTGATTGCCATAAGTCCAACTTACAGTCAAAACGTCACAGGCGCATCCGAGTTAGTATTCTTCACATCCCGTACAACTCTTATACTAAGCGAGTCGGAAGCGAGACGAACATGTGTAATCATTAAGGTGTGGATTCAGTTCAGAGAGCAGAGGACGCAGTGCTGCTTGGCGTTCCACTCATAAGTGACTGTGTTGCGCTTGCAATCACTTCCGAATAGTTTACGTGCTGTTTGGTTGTAAGGGATCTCCAATAAAGAAGACCAACAAGAACAACAAAACGCCCATAGGGTGACACCTTATTTGGTGGGGAGGGGATGTGTACTTCATGTGTATGCTCTCATTTGTACTGCATTTCAGGGGTTCATGTCAAAAATGGTCCTTATCGATCCGGACTGGCAACACAAGGATAAGCAACTTCCTTCAAGATTTGTTGTGAAGGTTCGTTTGAAGGCAAAGAACTTTTTACGGAAATTCGAGTGATAAATAGCTAATAATAGTTAGATGTTCTGTAAAAGAAACGTTCGATCCAAGCCCAGTGCGTAGTTGTTTGCGGTCAATCCATTTCATTATCTTGAACGGAAAAGTCTAGCAATTGGCCCCGGCACCCCTATTTGTCGTCGCATGTTTGGGGCTTAATGGTGGGTAGATCGGAAGCTATCAGAGGAGTGCTGAGCTACGGGCAAAAGTCAGACCGAGGACGCGACCCGATCCCGCATCTCCCTATCATCTCGATTGTTATTGGTGCCATTGTTTCCAGCACTCACAGCTCCAACGTGGTGAGCCGGTTAGTCGATATCGGCGGTGAACCGAGGGCTGAAGGCTTGTGTAGTTTTAAAGATTTTTTTAAATTTGATAACTGCTGTTTATCGTAGTGCGCAATCCGAAAGTTATAACAAGAGTGCGCGAAGGTCAGATGACGGACGCCGCTCGAACACCCATCTCCCACTTACCGGGTGTTTGCAGAACGGAAAGCTTTTGAGAAATACCGTACCCTCAAGCTCTGAGAAACTAGATTTCTTCGAGTAAGCAATGATTTAAAGCTACTAACTAAATAGAAAAGAAAAAGGCAAGTTTGCGAAAACGATTTTGTTCAGCATAACGCTGGATGAGCCCCACAGGTTATTTTTCGACGAGTTCCCTGCTGGCATCGCGCCAACAACCACCGAGGTAGACGTAGTTACGTGTATTTATCCTTGCACATGTGCAGGCAGCCTTTTCAAATGTGCTACGTAGAAGAAGTAGTCAGAGTATCAGCGTATGCACTGTCCTTGGGTAGGGAGGGAGGCATACGGTATTACAGGGAGCTCTTCATTGTATATTTATCCCACTCATCCACGCTGTACTCCCCCCCCTTGACAGCACGTTTTTCAGAATGGCCGAATACCAGGGAACGAATATACTGGAGTCGTGGAGGCAGACTGTGAGGTACCGAAGACGAAATTAGGGGTTGTCGTGCATTCACCACCACTTTGCCAATCTATCGCGATGCTGTGCCGTGATTGGACTGCAGGCGGCCAGCAAATGAGAAACGCCCCGTGAGCGTCAAGTGCGCTACTCATTGGACTACCTAAAGATCTTTCAGAGCATTCCATCTCCTTTTTATGATTAGTTGGTAACCGAAGCACTGACTAGTTGGTCTACACAATAGAGAAAATGGAACATAAACTGCATACAAAATGGAACATAAACTGCAGCCTCTGAATTTCTATCACACGGATTTGCCATGAAGTGAGCATTTGAACCCCTACACTCCTAAAACTGCTGAACGACTGATTCTTCTACTCAGCCGACCAACTTGTGCGGCCAGCGGCCAAATCTAATTCTCAATACCAATTCAGAACAATTTTTTTGATGGTAGAAGTGCGTTCAAAAAAAACGTTTTCAATTTGAATTTAAGATCCTCACTCAGCTGGCCATGCAAAAACTCACCGATGAGTTCAGCCAAATGCACAACGTCGAAAACTCTTTCATTGAACCAAAATTCATGGCAGAATTAGAACTGATGCAGAAAAATGTGAGTTTACCTGAACCGTACTTGAAAAAAATTTTAACGTGATACTCCTCTTCTTTTTACTAGGCATCCCACACCATGTTGAAATAAAGTGCGCAGCCACGCCCACTCCAACTTTAAGATTTAGAGTGCGTGCATAAGGTCTGACGAAAAGTCTACAACACAACTGCTATGTAATGCGGCTTCAGTCAAGCCGATTGTAAAGTTTTTTTTGAGTTGCCTTTGCTACATGGGGCTATCGTTACCGTGCAGAGACCAGGTAGTAACATTCCGTTCCGGGTAGTGCTGGAGTAGAGCACAACCGTTTTCCGTACTTAGCTGTACCACTCCCTCCCTCGTCGCCTAACTCGAACTCTTGCGGCAACCACTGACTCTTACTCCTGACGTTGACGTCAGCTTTCATTTTCCATCACTCTCTCTTCCAACAAGTCTTTCCCATGTTGCCGAAGAAGCAGTGACTCTCGATGGTGACATGACAGGTCTAAACCACCTAGATGAGTCTGAGCGGGAACTATGTCAAA